CTCTGGCGTGGATGCTGGTGCTGGGAAGCCTGTTGTGCAGCAGCACCAGCCACCTGCTGATGTTGTTGTTGTTGCTGGTATTGCTGGTGGTATTGGGCTCCAGCCACCATTCCAGGCATAAACTGGAAAAGGCTCATTGCAGCAGGATGATAGTGTTGCATAAATTGAGCCTGCTGCTGGTGATACTGTTGGTTGACCACTGTCTGTTGCTGCTGCTGTTGATAATGCTGCTGCTGTTGCTGCTGTTGTTGCAATTGGTGATGCAGTTGTATTACCTGTTGATGTTGCTGAGCGAGTTGCTGTTGCTGATGATGCTGCTGTTGCTGTTGTTGCTGGAATGCTGTTTGTTGAGCATAATGGTGCGAGGCCTGCGGTTGCTGTTGTTGAGCGGAAACGGACGAACTTTGTTGACTCGAAGCTATGGACTGTGCTACTTGCTGTTGCTGGTGTTGCACTTGGTGATGCATATGATGAGGTGTTTGGCTGGCGTAGCCAGCCGCTGCCGCTGCTGCTGCAGCAGCTGCAGCGGCTGCAGAGAAGGCTAATTGTTGCTGGGTCTGTCCAGATGGCAAGCTTGACGCAAGAGAAGCGCCAGAATGCTGCTGCTGTCCTGCCTGCGTTTGGCCACTTGACGCAGTTGATTGCTGCTGCTGCTGTTGTTGATGGTGGTGATGTGCTAAGCCATAGGCTGAGGAAGCCGTCGAGGTCGCTCCTGTTAAACCGTTGCTTGTAGAATTGGCTATGGAAGCTTGCTGTTGTTGGTGATGATGAAGATGGTGATGACTCGCCTGGACAGCAGCAGGGACGGATGGCACAGAGGACCCCACCGTAAGCCTGGAATTCTGGGGACTTTGTTGTTGTTGCTGCTGTTGGTGAAACTGTCGGCCAAATGCAGCTGCAGCCATCACAGCTGCCAGATTGTTTGAAGCTGCGGCGGCGGCCGCAGCACTACTTTGAGTAGGTTGAGTTGCCGTACGGGACGACATTGCAGAATTTCCAACGTGCTGCTGAGCAGATGAAGCTGAACTATTAGAAGAATTCGGAGCCGTCGCGGCCGCAGCAGCAGCAGCAGCAACAGCGGCCAGGTGAGTAGTAGAGCTTAGACACCGTTCATGTGCGACTAGGTCATTTTCTTTTTTTCCAATACCAACACCTGATGTAGAAGTGGTACCTGAAGCATTATGAGTGTTGGCGGTTGTGTTAGTCGTAAGAGGATGGCCCGGATTAGTAACTAATTGAGCTTGCTGATTAGGGGCTTGTGCTTGCTGCTGATAGGCAGCTGCGGCTGCGGCTGCAGCTGCAGCCACAGCAAAAGCAGCCTGCTGCTGCTGCTGTTGACCGGCAACAAAGGCACGACTATTTACTGAAGCCGCAGTAACGGATGTAGTTGAACAAGGATTAGAGAGAGCTGAGGCAGATTGCTGCTGTTGGGATTGAACTGGCTGCTGAGAAGCGATAGAAGCAGCACCAGCCGATAGCTGCTGCTGTTGTTGATGCTGAGGTCCAGTAGTGAATCCAGCCG